GGCAGCTGCATTTATTGAGCACTTACTATTCACCCGCATTGCTAGTTGGGCGTCTGGAGCCCCAGGGTACCTGGCACCTGCTAAGTGCTCCTTAAATGACGGCCCTGGTGGCGTCCATGTTGCTGTGCGTGATGCTGACGTTGCTCCAGCCCCAGGTGGGGTCCCAGGCAGGAGACGCCGAGGCCTCAACACAGGCACACTGCCCCCTGGTGCTGCTGTCGGGAATCGGCATCTGGCAGACGAGCTATTGCAGTGAAGAGCCCGGGATGCTGTCTGCACCAGGCCCCGGGCCCATCCATCCTTCCTTCCATCCATCCAACCATCCATCCATCCATCCATCCATCCATCCATCCATCCGTCCATCCATCCGGTGCTCCAGCCCCATCACACCAGCATCAGGCGGACGAACCCTGCTCCTGGAACTTCGGTCCTCCTTGCTGCTGGGCAGGGCCTAGAGGGCTCCAGGCTCTCTTCCGCTGCTGCCGCTGCTGCCCAGCCAAATGGAGCACCAGCTCTCGCCTCTCTGCAGTCCCTCTGGAGGGTCCAGGGCAAACAAGGTGGGGCTCAGGATGAAGCCACAGGAGGCAGGGCAGCTGTCTGTAACAGGACGGAGGAAGCTGGGCCTCAGCAGATCAGAAGCAAACCCAGCTGCTGAGCACAACCAAGTCTCCTCCGAAAAGGACACCCTAAGCAGCCTCCGCCACCTCCCCTGTATGTGGATGGCCTCATGCCCCCGCCCCCGGAGGAGGAGGGAGACTTCTAATGTCCACAAGGGAATCTGTGCTTCCTTCCCCTGACTCCTGAGGAGGCTCCGTTTCCTAGAGCAGGGACACCGAGTGGCTGTGGGAATACGGGGGTTCAGGGGGGCTCATGGGTCCCAGAAAGGATCCTCAAAGCAGCCAAGCAGCCTTGCATTCCCGGAGGGGTGGGGGACTGCAGGGTTGCCCCTCAAAACCCTTTCAAAATAGCACAGCGGGCTGGACTTCTGAAGTCAGCTGTCGCGCCAGCAACAGGGGGATGCAAGTGACCTTGGAAGAGCCCAGTCAGGACACAGTGCCGGGCTCACCCTGCAGAAACCACCTCTAAAAAACCCCAGATCATCTTGATGTCAAATGACTGCTTAGCGCAGTGCGAGGCAGGCATCAAGTAGAAATTAAACTCCAGCTTGAGGAGGAGGCAAGCCCAGACTGACAGGAGCGGCTGGGCTGGGAAGTGGAGGCAGAAACTCCTCAAGTTAATGCCTTCCAAGGCCCCTCGGGCCACTCCCAGGTCTTGTCTGAAGCTATTTACTTCCAGGGGGGAAAACCCTATTGATCTTCATTCAGCTCCTGTCTGCTCCTACTAGGCAGCAATGTCTCAGCGCATCACCAGTCACGGTAAGAAAATCCTCATTGTTTTACACGCGGCTCCCAAACTCGGAAGATGAATGTTAGGACCGTTTGGGTGAACTGATGGCAAAAGATTGGGACGGACAGACGGGGCTGGTTGGGGCACTCTGGGGGAGGGGCTCTCATTCCCCAGGGACGGACTGCTGTGCTTGCCCACTGGGCCCCCCATTCCAGGCTCGGGGCCTTGAGGCTCCTCTGATCTGCTCTGTTCTGCTCTGTCGGTAGATGCTCTGAGAGTCCCGAGTGGAGCCAGCCCTTCTCTGCAACCCCCACCCCCACCACATACACCTGCTTTATGTCTCTGCAGTCATTTGGCTCCGAACCTCCCCCTGGCTGGCTAGAGATCATCACCAGCCACTAGAGCTCCCCAGCTGCTGCCACCACTGTCTGGTTCCCTTTTCAAGTTCCAAGCTGGCCCCGTAGCACGAGGGAGCCTCGTGGAACCGTGAAACCCACGATGACACGGACAGCACAGTGCCCACCAGTCTGCACTCGGACGTACTCTGGAGCCACGGAATATCCCAAACCATCACAGCCAACCCAACCGTTCACAGGTGGGGAAACTGGGAGAAGGGGCAACAGTGTGATTTGACCGAAATCGCTCAGTAAGCGGGAAGATGACGGAGCAGGAAACCCAGGCTTCCTAGCTCCCGGCCTCGGGCCCCTGCACTTCAGCTTCTAGGTCATGCAGCCAGGTCCACGTGAGGTCACTGAAGCCCATCTGGCTGAGGGGACCCCTGCATTAAACGGCTTTCCATGAGTTAAGACCAGAATCTGTCTCCACAATAATAACGATGATAACAGTAATAATAAAACGCCGAACAATATGCTTTGAAAACCTTCAATGAGCAACGCTTGATAATCACACGCAGATACATCTTCCACATATTCATATAAAATAATCAATGATCATTTTTTCCCGCAGACTACAATCCAATTACTCTCTCTCCCTCGCTCTCTCCCTCACTCTCCTTTGTTACTTGCAAACCATCCAAGCAATCAATGCCTTGACCTCTCCCTCTGATAGACACAATTACAAAAAGACAGAGCAATGCAATTCATCTATTCAAGATGGATTGTTTGAACACTCTGTCACACTGCTGAGCTATCCATCTCCTTGTCTAAGAGGAAATTTCAGCCCCCAAAAAAAGGCACAAAGAAAGGGGCGGTTACGCTGCTCTCTGGCCCAGAGAGCCCCTCAGACACCTGCAAGAAAACCCTCTCCCAGGCTGGTGCTTGGGGATGCCTGCTGCTACAGGACTCGGCTCCAGGCACAACGGGAGCCCGTCCAGGGAACCAGAAACACCCAGCACACTCCGAAGCCCAATTTCCAGGACCTCAATTCCCGCGGCCCCGGTCAGAGCCCTGGAAACCCATGGGTAGATCAGAAAAGGGAGATGGTGTCGGACATAGCCAAGGCGGTGTGTCTGGGTCTCGGCATAGGATTGTGTGTGTGTGTGTACGCGCGCACTTGTGCACGCGCTCCCATGATGTCCACTGTGGTTCCCTGGCTCCAGCTAAGGCTCCAGCCTGGGCTCAGAAGGACGGAAGTTCAGCTCCCCAGGAAGCTCCAGAGAAGCCCAGAGGCCTCAGAGCCTTCTCATCCTCCGTCCAAGCTGGCACAGCTCCGGCGGTCACGTTTGGCATCCGCACAGCACCCCAGTCCTCGGGCTGGGAATCAAATGGGGCAGGGCTCTCAGATATAAATGGCTTGGGCCGACACGCTAATTAATCCTGGGGCTTAATACGAAGAAGATTAGAAGAGAGGAGGGCTTTGCCATCCTTAATTGCATTATTACAAGCTGAACCCAAGAAAGGGCGAGCAGGCTGGGGCTTCCCCTCAGAGCCGTGAGGAGCCCCCAGTGCAAGCCGATTCCATAGCAAGAGGGGGCAGGTAAGGATACATCATCCTGCCCCTCCTTCGCGCATCCTTCTGGGGTTGTCCTCATCTGCTCCTGACTTCCAGGGCCCCCAAAGACCTCCATCCCTGAGGCTGGTCTAGGAGTATACCCAGCTCCCCGCCGCCCCCACCCATGCAGGGGGAAGAACCATGGAAGAGGAACCTGCAATGCGTGGGATGGGCACATAGCACCTTTTAAGTCTCCCCTCCTTTCTCCCAAGGGCACCCTACCATGTAGGCCCCTGAAAAACCAAGGAAAGAAGGAAGGAGGAGATAAAAGAAGTGCTGGCCCACTACTAAGGGACCACCTGCCCCTGGATGGGTGGTGACCAAACCGGGGAACTGGGGCAGGCAAAAGAGCCGAGATAGAAGAGGTTTCTGGCTTGCCAAGAGCAGCCCGGCTGCAAAGGGTTAAGCGTGACCGTGGGGGATGTCCCCAGAGCCCCTCACTCCCAGACTTCTCTGCCTTCTGGTGTGAGTCGCTGGGGGTCCCAGGAATGGACTGAAAGACCCCAGCGTGGACAACAGCGCTAAGGGCTGCGCTCTACCCCCATCCGGATTGTTTATAGTTCAAGACATTGTGGGATCCAAGAGTGAGCCTCGGAGACAGACCCCCCCCCACCCCAGATTCCTGACCGCCTCCTAGGAAAACCCGACCTAGGTTTCCTGCACCGCCTCACCCTTAGCAGTCGGTGCCTGGAGAAGAGCCACAAGGAAGGACGGTGGCTCCGGCTCAGCAGAGCTCTGGCTGCCTTGTGCCGGCTGCTGGCGGCGGCGCCTCGCGAACCCAGGCGGCCCAGGTCTCCGGCCTGGAGGCGGGCACGGGGCCTGCGTGGCCGAGGCTCCCGCGTGGCCAGGCCGGGCCTGCACCCCGAGCCCCCCCCCCCCCCCGCATCGCGGGGAGCGCTGCCTGCAGGGCGCCTGGGGCGGCCACAACAAAGTTAAAGCCCCGAGTAAGAGTCTCGGGCGGCGGCGGCGGAGAGCGGAGATGCCAACCCCAGAAAGCCTGCGCGCAGCCCCGCCAGCCGCCGCCAGCTGCGGAGGGATTTCGGCTAACTTTAAAACCCGCTCCCTTCCCCCCTCCCACCCCGACCGACCCACCTGGGGCTGCCCCTTCTCTGCCCCAGGTCCCGGGTCGCCGGGCCGCAGGCCTCCCCCTCCACGCCGGGAGAGAAGACCCAAAGCCCCCCCTCTCCATCCTGCGCAGCGGCCCCCGCGTCCCGGCCGCTGGAGCGGTGCCCCCGGCACAGGAGAGGGGCCTGCGGGGAGCCAGGAGGGAAGAGAAGTTGGCGCCTTCCCCACGGTTCCCGCGGCGCGGAGAAGCCGGGTCCCAGAACTCGGGGCGGCCGCGCAGGCTGGCAGTCGCCGGGAGATGGGAGATGGGAGATGGGAGATGCGCCCGCGCCCGGGCCGGGGCTGGAACGCTCCGCTGCTCTCCATCAGCTCTGGCCTCCTGCGAGCGCGCCAAGGGCCCCTCGCCCGCTGCCGTCTCCCCACTAAGTGAGGCCCGTGACCCCGGCTTTGCAACTTTGTCCTCCCCAGAACGACCTCCCGGTGGTCACCTGCCCCCCCCCAGCCCCTGGCAGCTTGGAGAGAGGTCGGGGGGAGGAATAAACCCTCTTGGGATCGCGTTCCTCGCGCCCCCACCCCACCCAGCTCCATCCCCGCCGCCGCCCGGGCGCAGCGAGACCCCGGCTCCGGGGAGCCCTTACCGATCCGGATGACGTGGGGCATCCCGCGCGAGTCCGGGATCCAGAAGGCGCACACGAGGAGCCCGGCCCAGTATTCCCAAACCAGACTCCGGGGGCGCCGCCAGGGAGCGGTCATCGTTGGGCGCCGCCGAGCGTGCCCGGGGCGCGGCCGTGGCGGGCTCCCCGGGGCGGCAGCTCTAGGCGCGGGCGCGCAGCAGCCCCCGAGGCGCCGCCTGGCCCAGCTGCCCGGCTCCCGAGCGCCGCTGCGAGTGGGGGGCGCCCCGCGGCGCCGCGCACATCTTACTGGGGGGCCGCCCCGCCGGCGCCCGCCCCGCCCGGCTGCCGCCCACGGGCCGCCCGCGAGCGCGCGAGGCTCCCGGGCTCCGCTCGGACTGCGCTCGGGCTCGGCTCCCGCGCGGGCTGCCACCTGCCCCGGCTGCCGGGCGCTGGCGGGCGGGCTGCACGCGTCTCTCCGGCCGCTCCTCCTCCAGCCGCCGCCAAGGCTACCGCCCGGGCTCGCACAAAGCCCCGGAGTGGAGTTGCACGCGCGCACACACTCCCTCCCAGCCCCCTCCCCGCGCCCTGCCTCCCGCCGCCCGCGCTCCCTCCGCGCACTCCCCCGCGCACACACGCACTTCACACTCACGCCCCCGAGGCGCACACTCGCGCGCTCACACCTGCGCAGGGGGCGGGGGGTGGCGGGGACGGGGACCCCGGGCCCGGTTCTCAGGGGGACGCCCGGAGAGCGAGGACGCCCCCCTGCTTCCCAGCTGTGCCCATCCGCCCCGCCGCCCCCCAGCCAGTCCCTACAACTGCGAGGGCACGGAGCCGGGGAGCCGGGCGTGCAGCGACAGAGCTGGCACCGCGAGCCGGCGACGGCGGCAGCCTGGCGGCCCGACCAGCTGGAGGAGACGCGCCCGCCGGGCGGAGGGACGCGCAGCCCGCGGAGCCTCGCCTTCCCGCTCCCACGCAGCGGGCGCAGGCTGGACGGCGGCGGGAGCGCACGCGGGGGCCGCGGCCCCACCGAACCGCCCTCCGAGCTGGGGCTGGGGCTCCGGGGAGACCGAATTCAAACAGAAGTGTCCGCCGCGCTGGGCTGGGGATGCTGCAGGGTCTGCTAGGGGCGGGCCTGGCCCGCGGACCCTCTGCGGTGGAAGGTGGCACTTGCCAGCGCCCTGCAGCCCCGCGGTTTCCGAGGCCAAATCCTGAAGTCCGGAGGGCATCTGAGATGCACCTGGTACTTCCCATCCTCGCGTTCCCCCAACGGTGCAGGAGGCGCTAGCCCCCTTCCCCTTGCCTCCTGAGAAGGATGAGAGACACCCGGCAATGGTCATGTCATTGCCCTGGGAGGCAGCAAGACCCACGGGGCGGGGGGGGGGGGGGGGGGGGACTGGAGGAGGGGAGCAAGCTAGAAAGGGTTAAAAAAGGGGGGAAAACCTTGTTTATTAGCAATAATAAATTCTTTTTTTTCAAGTGGCGCTGGGTGTCGAGGGAAAGAAAGGGCTGTGGAGCGAGTCTGGAGCAGGAGGCTGGGAATTACGCAGTTAGGCGAGTTTAATGACCTTTTTGACAGAGACAAAGCGCCCACCCGATACAGTAGATAAATAAACGGATCTGTCACCGGGCAGCGGCTAGGCTGTGTGTGGATTTATTTTTCTCATTTAAATAATTTGATCTATTCCATCATTCCCAATCTCTCCCATTTGCCAGCTGTCTGGTAAGAGCATGGCCCCCAACATCTGAAAAGCAAATCTTTAATTTTCTTACAAATAGACTATCAGTCCAGCCCTACCCCGGCTGTTAATTTGCCCCGTCTTTTCCTTCCCTTCCCTTCCCTTCCGTTCTGGAAGTAGGGGACGTGGGCATTGTGTGGAGATGTGAATATTGCAGCGTGGCCAATCCTGCCAACTGGAAGGGGACTCCCTCCCACCTTGCGGGGGAGGCAGCTGTGGCGGTGGGAGGAGGATTTCCCGGGCTCTTCTGAGAAAGGGAAGAGGTGTGCGGTCTTGAGGCCGTCCTCCAGCACCGGACAGCCAAGAGAGGCTACTGGGCACCATATCTGCCAGACTTGGGCCTTCCTCACCCCGGAGCAGGAGCGGCTGGTTTCCCAAGCAGCCACTGGAAAATGTTGCCCAAGAGACCAGGGGGAAGGACATGCAGACCAGAGCCAGAGAGGCAGCAGCTGCCACCTCTTGATAGAGAGTAATGGGCCCTGGTGGGTCCCAGCAAGGAGGAAGCACAGGAGAGGGGAGCAGAAGGCCCCCCCATACAGCGGGGGGGAGTCTCTTCCTTGAAGAAATCACACCCCAGCCCTATTTAACCTGGTTTAGTTACTCCAAGGAACCAAAAAAGTCCTGGCTCTTCTCTAAGGAAGGAGATCTGGTGCCCTGATGGGGGGAAGAGGAGAGGGGATTTGGCAGGACCTGAACTCAAGGCAAAGGATGCGGGGGCTCAGAAGCCATCAGCAACTGGCAGTCCTCTGGGAGGGTTAGGGGGTGGGGAGGAGGGGAGAGCCTGGGTGCTGATTCTGTTTGGTCATCCTGCAAGCAGCCTCTTGCCAGGAGAGGGGTCGAGTGCAGGAAACTGGTGGTACAGGGCAGGGAAACTGGGAAGCAGAAAGGGAAAGGGTGGGGAGGGTCTCCTCCAGGGAAGGGAATGGGCAGATTTGCACCCTAGAATAGAGCCCTGTGAAAGGCCAGGGGAGGGAGGGATGAGAGGTGGGGAGCAGGGGGAGAAGGAGCAGCCCCCAAGAAAGCCCGCACAAGGGAGGCCGAGGGGGAATCGGAGGGGACCATGTGACCCTGTCCCCTGCAGGCCCCCCGCCAGGTCCGGGGGAGCAGCACGGGCTGGACATCGCTCCTGCCGCATCCCAGAGTGGGCGGGTGTTAGCGGGTGCTGCGGAAGGAGGCTTCCCTCTGCTGCCACGTTGGCTGCGGTGGGAAACAGCCTCCAGATGCAGAGGCTGTGGGGCTCAGTCACCGGGGCCACAGCCCAGGGGGAGCCCTGGGGTCCCAGGGAAGCTGGCTGAGCCGGCCGGGCGCGGGCCCTTACACGGACCTAGCTGCGAGCGTCCTGGGGCGCAGGGGTCTCCCAGGCCGGCAGCACCTGCTCCCTCCCGGGCTGGGGAAGGGTGCGATGCTTTACAACGAAACACCAGCCATGATACCCTTGACTGCTGGTATTTATCACGTTTTCTATATTCGGACGAGGTACTCACTCCCCGTACCTACCCCGTAGCTGGCGTAGCTGGCGTAGCTGGCGTGCATCCCTTCCTGTAACCCTGCCCGTGGCCTGCTGGCTTAGGATCCCTGGGGTTTTCAGTTTACAGTAAGGACCCCGAGCCTCGAGCCTCGAGCCTGGGGAGGTTAAGAGGCCCAAAGTTACACAACTAGGATGTGACCTTCCTCCTCCCCCCTCCCTCCCTTCCTCCCCTTCTCCCTTCTTCCTTTCCCCCTCCTTTCCCTCCTCCCTTCTTCCCTCCCTTCTTCCCTTCCCCCTCCTTTCCCTCCTCCCTTCTTCCCTCCCCTTCTCAGTCCTTTCTTCCCTCCCCTTCTCCCTTCCTCCCTTCCTTCCCTCCTCCCTTCCTTCCTTCCTCCCTCTCTCTCTTCTCCCTCCCCTCCTCTCCTCCTCTCTTCCCCCACCTCCCTTCCTTCCCTCCTCTCTTCTCCCCTCCCTCCTCCTTCCCTCTTGCCTCCTTCTTCCTTCCTCCCTGTAATACTTATGGGCCATCACCGCCAGACATTGTGGGTGAAGAGCCAAGATCTGCATGTGGTCCTATCTGCCTCCTAAGCTTGCAGCCTCGACCCTTGTCCTGTCCTGCCTGGACTGAGCAGGGGATGGGCTCCAGCAGATTCCCCCCCCCACCCCCCCAGCTCTGCTGGAGGCCCACTGGGGCTTCTGGCTGCTTGCAGAAAGGTGACGAGCAGGATAGGACTGGGGCAAACTGGAGCACCCCCAAGCCCAGGAGGAGAAACCTGCAGCCCTCTGTCCCCGTGGTGAGGCACCTCTTCAGGCTGTCCTGCCACCAGCGGGCACCAGGGCTGGCAGGATCTCAAGCTGCCTCCCCTGGGATTGGGAGCCGCCAATCCTGGCTTTTCGAATTGTTGGTAAACAAGTCTACCCACCAGCCAGGCTTCGCTCCTCGCTCCCCCACGAGGCAGCCAGCGCCGGATTTATGAGGCCTCCAAACCTCATTCAGACTAATGCAGCTTTTCATTCCAAAATAAAAGGGGCCGCTGTCTGAAAGGACAAGTGCTCCCGCATTTCATTAACATCCCCGAAAATGGCTGAGCTGGCCCAAGTCGCTGCCAACCAGATTCATGTCTCCCACTGGCTCACAGGTGGGGGTAGGGGAGGAGGAAACCCTAGCTGCCCGCCTGGCCCCTCCCGGCCTCTCCCAGGCCCTCCAGGCCCTCCCGGGCCCTCCCGGCTTCTGCTGGGGTGGGAGGAGCATCCCAGTGGTGGCCAGGCGGGCTCATTTGGACGAGTCCCCTGTGTGCGCATTTTGTTTAGACCGATCCACTCCAGCCCTCAATCCCCCCACAATCAGGGTGAGTGATGAGGCCCTGGGCTCGAGTTACCGAGATTCATGATCTCCGCTTCCCAGGGAAACCACCGAGCACAGGCTTGCGGTTGCTGAGTGCAGATTCCTAGCACTGGAGTGCCCTCTGCTGAAGCCTGCCTCCCTTATCTCCCTTCAGGCTGCCCGGGCGGGCAGGCCGCTGGTGGTGGCTGGATGCTGGGGCCCGGCCCCTCCTCCAAGGGGCCCCCCCTGCAGGCCTGAACCTGGCGGGGGCCCTGCAGACCCACGCCCCGGTGCCTGCGTGACAACGAGGGGACAGGCTGCCTCACTCCGTGTCACCCTGAAGGGGGCCTGGACTAGAAGGAGGTCACTGCTAGCCCTCCCCATCTCTGCCAACCACCAGAGCAGGGAGGAGGAGGGAGATGCCTTTCTCATACCCGCTCTTCCCTTAACAGCATTCTCTCCGCGGCAAACTTGCTGCCCTTTACAGGACACCCAGACTTTTGCCTCTGGGCCCAGGGACAGAAGACCCTTTCATCAGCCCGGGGAATGGCCCTCGTCCTTCATCCCTGTCCCAAGAAGGCAGAAGCATGGCAGCGGCCAGCTGCCACCCG